AAAAAAGAGCGAAACAAACAATTCTGAAAAGATGTAAGAGAAAAGGCAAAAATGCTTTTTTTCAATGTTTGCCAACTACTAAAATCAGTTTAGCAGAAGTGCCAACAGTCAAGTTGTTTTAATGAATCCAAAAATATATTTAATGCAAACAAACTAACACAAAAGCATTTTAGTAATGGCTTCAAAAACAGAAAAGCACAAAAAAAAAAAGAATTTCATTTTCCTTTCAATTCAGTTTTGTTAAGTTTTGTAGAAGCCAAAAAAAAAAAAAAGGAATAAATAAATAAAAAATAAATTGTTAAAAGATTTATTTTTTTAAACTCTGAAAAGATTCTTATTTTTTTTTTTTTCATTTATTATATTAACAAAAATTTTCCTTTCTTCTATTCCTTTCACTATCCCCCACTGTTGCCCTCCTCCACTTCCTTTCCTCCAACCAACTATCCCACTTCCTGTCCTCTCTCTCCCTCTCTCTCTCTCTCTCTCTCTTCATTTCTTCCTCTTTTTCTACTTGTTATTTGATGATAAATTTGAACTGCAATCCCATTGGGTCATTTCCGATTTCATCAACATCGACATTATCATCTTCGTTATCGTCATCATCACTGGCAAATAAACATCAGCAACAGCATCAGTAATAATTATAAGGAGCTTCAGAAAAAAAAAAAAGAAAAACAGTCATCAATCAGTTGGTATAGTGATAGCTGTTTTACATAACAATCACATGGTGCAATGGGACAAATAGATCAAAACTAGGGACCCTGATGATTAGTCATCTATGTCGTCATTTGGACAACGATGATCGCTTTTACGTGTTCTTACCGCTGATGATACATAATTACCTGTTGAGGAGGACACTGTAATGTTGCTCTAATTGACACTTACACTGAATGATGTTCTTTGGAACAAAAAAAAAAAAAAGCTTTTTTCTACCTATCACTTGTACTGTTTTATTCCTCTGAACAAATTTCTGTGGGTAAACAGATGACATCAGTCCAGTTAGAAGAGAGCAAAAGAAGAGGTAATACAGAAAGGAAGATAATATGGAAACTTAACGGGAAGAAGACGTGTTTCTGATGACAATAAGTGATATAAAGTTGACGTAGGCAGTAATTTCTGATACAGTTTAATTAAATAATGGAAACTTTGTTTTTTTTTTTTTGCCATATAATTCTTCGTTTTTTTTTTTTT